GGGGCAGAACCACAGAACGTGGACCTGAACCAGCAACCAGCAGAGCCACGGAGTCCAGATCCGACTCGTCATCGTCTCATCACAGAAGGAACTAAAGGACGTCCCCATCCAGATTTATTTAAAACTTCTGATCCGATCCCGGCCAATCAGAGCATGTGTTAAAGTTTGAAGTTATTTATCTACTTAGTTGTCAGACTCAAGTTGAACAGGGATTTACTCTGATAACTTCTTCAAGTCCGTCTGGCTGCAGACTGCAGGAAGCCAAGGATGGAGATCCAACTCTGCCCACATCCAAGTCGGCCATTTTGATTAGGTCACCAATAGGAAGATCCCGGGCAAGAAAATCCTAATTGCTTCATGGCAAACTTAATTAAACTCTATCCATAATATGTTAAAATCGTGGATGTTAAATAGGTTTGTACAATAATTCCAAACAAGTTTAACCCAAAAATATTTATTTCTCACAATTATGAAAGGTGGAGGGTTAGGGTTAGGACATCGTTTGTCTTCCGATTTCGTATAGACCGTAAAGTTTCATTTCCACCTCAGAAAGCTGCTAGTCACATGACCTAATCAAAATGGCCGACTTGGATGTGGGAGGAGTTGGATATCCAACTGAGGCTCCTACAGACTGCTGAACTTAATGGTTAGGACACAAACCTGTGGGTTAGCAGATGCCAACGCTAATGTGGGATCGGACTTTTAAATAAAAAACTGGATCTGGAGTCTGGATCTGCATTTTCCCCTGCCGGCCGATCCGATCCAGATATCGGATCGGGACCAGCCTAGAAACCGGCTCATCTCTGAGCTCTGATTGGCCCAGGGGTCTCACCTCTCAGGCGGTGGGCACGGGGGCCCCCTGGGGCATGACGGGCACCTCTGGCTTGGCCCCCTTCTGCTCGGAGATGGGCGTGGTGGGCAGGTTCTCCTCTTTGGGCTCCACGATGCTGACGTGGTCTGGGAGGGGCTTCTTGGGGCCGATCTTACCGCTGGGGTCCCAGGGCAGCATGATCTTCACCTTGATGCCCAGCACACCTGCACAGGGGAGGGTCGGTTTAGGGCCTCTCATTGGGCAGTACACCTGTTAACCTCAACTAAATCCAGGCCTTTCATTGGTCAGAATACTTGTTAACCTCAACTGACCAACTAAAATATAGCCTCATTGGGCAGTACACTGGAAAATCTGAACTAACTTGGTCAAATCTGAACTAACTTGGTCAAAATACTGGTCCACCCTAAAATGAGGAGATTCATTGGTCAGAATACTGATCTGAACTAAAACCAGGCGCCTTATTGGTCAGAATACTGGTCCACCCTAAAGTGAGGCGTCTCATTGGTCAGAATACTGGCAAATCCGAACTAAAATGAGGCAACTCACAGGTCAGAACACTGATCTAAACTAAGACAAGGCGTCTCACTGGTCAGTATACTTGTTAACCTCAACTAAAATATAGCGTCTCACTAGTCACAATACTAGCTAATCTATACTAAAACAAAGCGTCTCATTGGTCAGATTACAGGCAAATTTGAACTAAAGCGAGGCGCCTCATTGGCCGGCTGGACTCACCCTGCCTCAGCAGGACGTGGCGCACGGCGGTGTCGACGT